TCCACCAGTTTTGTGACACTATTAGAGAATTCTGAAGCACATAGACCCTCACATTCCTAACAAAGAGATATTTGCCAAAGCAGTATTTTTGCATGCATGCACAGTTTAGGTTTTATGAGTGGAGATGGTTTCATTGAATTTTGCAAGTTTTTCAAACAAGTGCATTAAGAATAAGGATAGCGGGGCTGGAGAAATGGCTCAGTGGCTAAGAGCACTGGCTCCTTTTCCAGAGGTCTCAAGTTCAATTCCCAGCACCCACATGTTGGCTTACAACCATCTATAATAGGAGCTGATTCTCTCTTCCAGTGTGCATGAGGGCGTGCCACTCATACATAAAATAAATAAATAAAAATTAAAAAAAGAATAAGCACAGCTGCTTCATTGTGTGTTATTAACATGACATGGAAGGGCGATTTTCTGTGATTTCTTACAGCAACAGAGTACAGTATATTACTGTGCTAGACACTCAAGTTTTGGGTTGGTCCAGGCTAAAATTCAAAACAATCAAAGCACACAGTATGTGCTTTCTAAGGACTTTAGCTTGATCCCAACTTCACACCCCATAACCACTTCAAGTTTACAAAGCCTTAAAAACAGATAGTGGCTGGTTTTATTTATGAGAAAAAGTATATGCTACAGTTCAAAGTAAATATACCAGGGAAGGAGTACACTTTAAAACCCAGGTTTTCTTTTGAACTTGGAGGAGGAGTGTGGATCAAAACCTTTTCATAAAGCCTACAGCAGACCTGAAGATATTTAGATGCACAGTTGAGTGGTGAGTTCACTTTCCTCCCAAGAAACTCAGACTCTAAATTGTCACTGTGAATATTGAATTTCACCAGCCCACGTTTGTAATGCTCGGGGCTTATTTTCATAACGCTATTTGATCCTGCAAAAAAGATGAAAGATTAAGAAATACCTTAGGCCCATGGTAAATGCGTGTTTTAAAGTCCCTGAACTGCCTGTGCAGTTCTGTGGAAATAAGAGACACAACTTTAAGTCCTCTGTAGAAGGCATCGTCAGAGCACAAGTGTTAGGGCTATGGCTTCTTTCTGAGTTACCATGGTGAGAAATGAATTTCTTAAATCTTTTTATCAAAGCATGTACCACTGAAACTTCTCCTTCTTCACAATTACCTTGGGGTTTTTGAGTTTTTAGAGACAAGGCTTTGCTAGCTAAGTACAACAGGCTAGCTTCAGACATAAGAGGTCTGTCTGCCTCCGCCTCTGGAGTGCTGAGAGCAAAGGCACTCACCGCCATGCCTAGCTAATGATCTTATTTTGAAGCTACATTTCACTTACACACTAAAAAGCATCTTTATCAGCGGAGTCACTGTGTCTCCTGACAACTTGGACACCAGATACAGGCCGTCAATCCCTACTTCATCCTTTCAAGTTCCATTTTTTCTCATTTTGAGTGAGAAAGTACTTCGAGTCATCAAGGAAAAGAGACTATGTAGTCTAAGTGCGGATGGGGCTGTCACATCCCAGCTCTTGTCACTGAGCACGGCAGCAGCTATTCAGGAGCTGTCCCACAGGGTGGACTTGACAGTTTAGAATCTGCCCTCCACGTTTCTGATTTGCCAGGCCGGAAAGAAAAGTGCCCGAATCCTTTACACTCCTCACCTTACATTGAAGGGACCAGCTCCCCATTTCAGCAGCCATAACAGCCTAGCATGGGCTTACCTGACCTTGCCTTGGTCGCTAGGAGGTCAGATGCCTGCCTCGTAGCAAGGAACCAATCAGAAGTTAGCTGGTGGTGCTATGCTTTACAGCTCTGGGTGTGCTTTACAGACAAGCGCACAGCAATGACACACAGAGCATAGCAATCAACCTGGGAGGGCCTATGGGCCATAACAACCAGCTGACCAATCAACACAGGGCAAGTCCTCCAAGGCTGGAGGCACAGCAATCCTGAGCCTGTGTGTACCCCTAGACACTCCCCTTATGCTGCCCTATAAGATCTCTATGCAGTGGCTTCTCGCCGTCTTTTCTAGCCACCCGCCATGGTGGATGGATGAAAGGCCCGAGCTAACACTGGGTAGCTCATTAAACAACTACAATAAAGCCTCGTTCTGTTTGCATCAAGCTTTCAACTCCGCCTGGTGATTTGGGTCATTGCAGTCCTGGACGGAGATCCTGGGGGCCTGAGCCTCCGGGGATCTTTCAACATCACTAGAGAAGATGAACGGGAACCCTTGGACATTACTTTGTCTAGGTTTTCTCAAACAAACAACAAGAAAACCAAGAACTTGAAATATTTTAGGACTATGTACAAGCTTCAAAAATACGGAGTTTTGATACATCCTTCACACAGTCATGTTACTTTTGTTTTTGAGTCGGGGCCTCATTCTGTAGCTCTGGCTGACATGGAAACTTGCACTGCAGAACAGACTGGCTGGCTTTGAACTCACAGAGATCCACCTGCTTCTACCTCTCAAGGGCTGGGACTACAGGTGTGCACATCACACCTAGCTGTATCTTATTTAAATTCTCTTCCCCCAGGATGTCTTCTCCTGGCCTACAACCCAAGCTAAACTGCCAGTGAGTAAAGGTGTCAAGACTTTTCTTAATCTGTAACCCATCTTCCAGCTTTCTTGTCCAAAGTGACCTTGAGATTCTGAATCTCATCTTCTTCACCTGACTGCTACAGACCCAGGTATGATCTCACCATTGAGTACGCTGACAGTGGTACAATCACAGATGGTCTTTGAAAACCACTGGCTTCTCTTCTAACAGGTTCCTTCCGGTTCCAAGAGCCAATGCTGCCTTCAGTAACCATGTGATTGAGTCATTTTTCTCCTCTCCTCTAAAGAAATGCTTTTCTGATTGAGTTTCCAATTGAACTACCTCTTCCAAAACTCTGTGTTTACATTTTTAATTTGTTTTTGAAAACCAACGGCAGAGGTTTAATTAGAGTAAATGAGGTGTAACAACACTGAGGAGTAATGTCAGAAGTAACGGATGTGATAAATGGCATCTTGCTTTGTTTGCATACTGACATACTTTCCAAGTGAGTACAAAAATTACATTCAAAGAACAAATAGTCTCATGACCTTCAAAATACTCCTTTAGAAGACCAATAAATGCAAACCATTTGTTTCGAAAACTATTTAGAAACACTGCCTGCCAGCCTATCAGCGTCAGGACGTACCAGACCCCATGTAATGCTCCCCCCTTCTGCCCGCCGTCTGTGCCAAGTGCAACCCAAGCTGAGCCTCGAAGACCGAGTTTGCCAGCGTGCACAGTGATGGCATGTGCGAGCAAAGCAGAGCCAGGCAGGTGTTCTGTTTTTTTGTTTTTGTTCTTTTGATCCAGCTGGAAGGAATCTTGGGCTACTAAAAATCAACAAGGATATGTTAGAAATATCCAGAAGCAAATTTGCATAACAGCGAAGTGTTGGGATGCTTCAAAAGGGAAGAACAAAATCTTCTAAGTATGATTCGCAGAGATATGACTAAACTGCCAAAGACCAAAAATCTTTCCATTTCATATCCTTCAAGCAATTATTCCAAGGCACATAAAATATAGCACTTGGGTGTTTTAATAAAAACAAAAAACAAAAAACCAAGCAATCCAGAAACAAAAACACCTTGTTTTCCATCCTCAAACAGTGTGTATAAACTGGTTGGATCCTACTTATGTTCAATTTTGTAATAAGCCTGTGTAAACATAGAATGAAGTAATGTGTTAAAACACGGAGCTGTTTCCACTGATCAGTGAATAAAGAGTAACAGTGCCCACAACAAAACAACAGGAGGTAAGAGGTCAGCTCGGAGCTGTCTCCAAGGCAGGGAGAATTTAGAGTCCCCAGGACCTCTCAGCCAGTGCTCCTTAGAGAATAAAAGTCAGGACTCCTACTTTAACCTGAGCCTGGTCTTCTGAATTCAAGAAACTAGGAAAATAAGCTAGAGGAGGAAACTTCCTTTTCTCCTTTCCATCTGAAAGGAGAACTCCTCTCGAAAGAAGAAATGTCTTCTACAGCGCTGCTCATGTGTGGCCCTTGGCTAGGGAAGGTGTATTTGTCTCAGAAACTCTAAGATCTTGGAAAACCAATGTGAAAATCCCCCCTGCAGGCCGCTGCCATGCTCTCCATCTTAACACTGCATGAATGTATTAGAAAAATAAAATTTGATTTGATCCTGGGGATCTACATTATGAAGGCAGGCTGGAACCTCTGACCACACACTGAAGACATATTGACAGCCTTCTTAAAGAGAAAGGATGGTAAAGTTTCTGAGATGAAGTCGGTAGCTAATTTTCACAAAGAAAGACCTTCTGGGCTGTTTTTTTTTTTTTTTCTTGGGTGGTCAAGGTTTCACTATGTAACCCACACATTGTCAGTCAACTCCAGATCCTCCTAGTGCTTGGTTTCCAGGTTTGTGCAGTTATGCCTGCTGAAGTCACTTGTGTAGCCAACCTTACAACCAGGAGAATGGGTACAAACTTAACAATGGAAACAAAATAATTTGCTAGGTAGTGTGCTGCAGTGGCTTAGAAACTGGTCTTGCTCTACATAATGAAATCTGATCAACAGAAAAACCAGAGGCCACGAAAGTCCATTCTACCTCAGAATGTCCTCGGGAAATCTTTTTACTTTTTCAGGATCCACTCTGCATGGTAGTTAAGACTGGCTCTCTCCGCTTTATCCCGGGATTTCTTGGCATTTAGCAACACATAGTAAATAACAGTCCACGACATCATTTTAATACTTCAAATAAGCTACAAGTCAAGAATCTGAAACTGGGGCTGTGGGGGCCTACTAAGGTTTTTTACTTGAGGTTACTGTTTTATCAAGTTGGTATCATTTCCTATCTAGTTAGTATTAAATGCAATGTGTTTGGGCCATAAGGTTTATGGGA